AAGGTTACAGTGATAGTATAACAACCTAAAGTTCAAGGTTAGGGTGATAGTATAACAACCTAAAGTTCAAGGTTAGGATGATAGTATAACAACCTAAAGTTCAAGGTTCAAATTTTCGTCTAGCCCTGCTGAATTACTGTTGTTGATTATGTTTTATTTATTTCTTCTTTCTTTTTGTTTGTTTTAAAGTCCATTAAGACATGTTTTTTCTGATAAGAAATGATTTATCAAAGGTATAGTCATGCCAGAGAAAACCTTTGTGTAGTTATAATTTGTGGCGCTGGTAAGGGAATCTTTAAAATATGTTTTTGAGTATCACACAATTATGTATGTAAAGACTGCCTTTCATCATCTGAATTTAAACACTTATGACTGGCAAAAGCCCTGTACAAATGTACAAACCTCAACTCCATCCCAAGCGAAGGCTGGGTACTGGGCTTCAAACATCGGGATAAAGTCGTCGTAATGGATCTGTAGTAAACAGTTATTACGATCAGCGAAAGGTTTATAAAGATGATAAAACAATAACATACAGCAAAGCTGCTGGACACCAGATCTGTTGATGAAAATCACTTACTGAAGATCCAAAAACCATCAAGGGGGGATCCTGCATACTAGAATTTATTCTTGGAATATTAATGGCATTACGTTTGTCGTTCAGAATATTCTGTTCGTAATATTGCATGTTTAAATGTCAACAATTTGTTAATAACGTCATCTTCTGAGACATGATACATATGAAATAACAACTTATTGTTTGTTTTTATTACATTGAAGTTGATGATTGCTATTTTAGCTTTACCTGTTTTATTGTTATGCTTTTTAATTACATTGTTTGTAAGAGATTGTTATTTTTAGGTTTACATACTCAATTGATAATTTCTTAATTACATTGTTTGTAGGAGATCTTTAGGCTAACTCTGTAAGTTGGAGAGCGTTAGTTTTAGGTTTACCTGCTTCAGGTTGATCCCACCTTCTACATAATTCATAACAGTGAAGTGTTTCTCATATTCATCAAAGTGGTCCATGGAAAAAGGTCTGTTGAATAAAGAAAACAAAGACAAATATTTTTCATTCCTTCTGAATTATGGTTCATAATGAACTATATGCGTGCAAGTTTTATTCACAAATACTTCTATATTTCAATATACACAGTAATAACATCTGGATAAAAATTTCATGAAGGATATAATGATTATCTGTCATAGGCTTCAACGTAAACAGTCCTATTAAAATCTCTTTTGATGTAAAGATTATTTGTGAACGGCGTAGGCATGTTTGAAATCAGTAGTATTAACAATTAACAACAAAATGTTTTGATAATTTTACAACTTACTTGTTAGCGAATCTAAGCCAGAATACCCGGTATACAAACAGCTTGAGTGGTTTCACACTGGAAAGCAGCACAACATAACGGATATCAAACTTCACGTTGCCAACCTCCTCACGGAAAAACAGCACAGGATCCTCCACATATTTACAGGCTACCTGTTGACAAGAGTTGTGATGACTGTGATATAGTCATATGATTCAGCTGTAGTTTTTATTACACAGGATATCCTCTCCATATTTAAAGGCTACCTGTTGACAAGCGTTGTGATGACTGTGATATTGTCATCTGATTCCGCTTGAGTTTTAATTAAACAGGATATCCTCTACAGATTTACAGGCTACCTGTGGACAAGAGTTGTGATAACTGGGATATGGTCATCTGATTCCGCTTGCGTTTTAATTACACAGGATAACCTCTACATATTTACAGGCGACCTGTTGACAAGAGTTGTGGTGACTGTGATATAGTCATCTGTTTCAGCTGTAGTTTTAATTATACAGGATATCCTCTACAGATTTACAGGCTACCTGTGGACAAGAGTTGTGATAACTGGGATATGGTCATCTGATTTCGCTTGAGATTTAATTACACAGGATATCCTCTACAGATTTACAGGCTACCTGTTGACAAGCGTTGTGATGACTGTGATGTAGTCATCTGGTTCAGTTGTAGGTTTAATTACACAGGATATCCTCTCCATATTTAAAGGCTACCTGTTGACAAGCGTTGTGATGACTGTGATGTAGTCATCTGGTTCAGTTGTAGGTTTAATTACACAGGATATCCTCTACCTATTTACAGGCTACCTGTGGACAAGAGTTGTGATAACTGGGATATGGTCATCTGATTCCGCTTGCGTTTTAATTACACAGGATATCCGCTAAATATTTACAGGCTACCTCTTGACAAGAGTTGTGATTACTGTGATATAGTCATCTGATTCCGCTTGAGTTTTAATTAAACAGGATATCCTCTACAGATTTACAGGCTACCTGTGGACAAGAGTTGTGATAACTGGGATATGGTCATCTGATTCCGCTTGCGTTTTAATTACACAGGATATCCTCTCCATATTTAAAGGCTACCTGTTGACAAGCGTTGTGATGACTGTGATATAGTCATATGATTCAGCTGTAGTTTTTATTACACAGGATATCCTCTCCATATTTAAAGGCTACCTGTTGACAAGCGTTGTGATGACTGTGATATTGTCATCTGATTCCGCTTGCGTTTTAATTACACAGGATATCGTCTAAATATTTACAGGCTACCTGTTGACAAGAGTTGTGATGACTGTGATGTAGTCATCTGATTCAGTTGTAGTTTTAATTACACAGGATATCCTCTACATATTTACAGGCTACCTGTTGACAAGAGTTGTGATGACTGTGATATGGTCATCTGATTCCGCTTGAGTTTTAATTACACAGGATATCCTCTACATATTTACAGGCTACCTGTTGACAAGAGTTGTGATGACTGTGATATAGTCATCTGATTCAGCTGGAGTTGTAATTATTAATGACAAAGTAATGGCACCAGCTGTAGAGTACTTACATAGTAATGCTAATTTAAAGCCTAGCAAGAACTTCTGAAAGAACACTTAGTGCACATTAACAAATTTTTAGAAAGCTCAACAAAATTAGATTGATAACAAAATCTGGAAACTACACCATTTATCTGTACTCCATTTAAACCGAAGTTCCTACAAATTCATATTGTTCAGTGATCAAGAAATGAAATTGATATTGTGTACAGTTGTCCAATCACTGAGATAGACTATATATAGCTATTAAGTCACGGATCCAGAGTCCCAGAGGCAGTTTGTGGGGTAACTTACACTTTGTTTGGAAAGAGCCTACACTTGGTTGAGAATATGTAGGGAGACCTAGCTATCTTGGTTTTAAAGTCTTGGAAATACATGTAACTTACCTTTGGTCCAGAGTCAGGGAGGCGTGTTATGTAGTTGATGTTATTGGTGATGTGCATATCTAAACCCCTGGCTAGATTCCAAGGCTTACAGATCCAGTGGTTGTCCAATCCTCTGTAAGAATAACAGCATAAATGAACACTATCAAATACATTTTTGTCCAATGACAACTTAATATAAGCTGAAAGAAAATATAATTATATTCCTAACCTCAGAATTATATCGGTAAACAATGACACACTCTCAAATTCGATTTCAAAATGACATTTTAAGTAAATTATTATTAGCCCACATATACCACTCAAAATGTGGAGACATGGAGTGCTGTATTGTTTGTTATTTTTCACCATAAACTCTGCTCTCTGATTGGCCTACTTAGCCTCAAATATATAGTGTTATTTATCACTATAAAAAAATCATTTTATATTCACTTTAAAATACTGGCAAAAAAATAAAATGTATTTTAATAGATGGCCAATGATCATGATATGCTAATGTTATTGTAAAACAGAACTTTCTTTTGATGTGTAGTTTTCTTCCTCAGATTAACATATTCATAAATTGAAATTACACATTTAAATGCCGTTTCTGATTTTACTGATGGTTATACACAAGCTATTACATAGCTTATTGCATGCACACGTAATTATTGCATGTGCAAGTTGTTACCACATTCAATTAAACATGGCAATTAGCCAATGAAAACTGTTGTTACAACCCATATGTGTTAGAATAAGCAAGCATTCTGTGGGTATTGATGAATCAATACATGTTCCCTACCAGCGCCCCCAACAGATACAGCAAACAAGATATTGCAAGTGACGATGTTTCCAAAACAAATTCTGGAGGTACGCAGTAAGTAAATACATTGCGGACCAATCTAATGCCCTTACATTCCCCATGTCCTTTATTAATGCATCTGTTATATATAAGTCCAAAACATGTCAAAAATTCAAACAAACCTTAACTTATTTTTCCACTTTCACTAAACAACATATTAATGCTAGACCCTAAAGAACCTCTGTACATAAAATTAGCACCCTAACACTATCATTGTTTCCCCGGGACTAACAATACCAAACTTTGATTCAAGGAGTAACTACAATGTAATAAGATGACATCTTGCAATTGATCAAATATTTTACTTTTCCTCTCGATGCTGAAAGTAGGAAGCAAATTTGTGGAGTTCTGTTTTGAGGTTGTATGTGATAGGGAGCCAGTCAGGATTACGCTCCAATGTGTCGGGATCCTCCTCTTCCTTACTCACTCTGCGACACACCACCGCCAGCAGATCCTTCACTGTCATAACAGACTCAGATGGAAACTGGTTTATCATCTTCCCAGGCATTTCTTCACTCAGCTTCCTACACAGACATATTAATTCCTTTACAAATCATAGATAATTATAATTATCTTACAAAGGACAAAATGTTATAGTCACCATACTTTGTTTCAATCAACAAAGTATGAAATTAATTTCATGATTATTTAAACTCCAAACAGTATACCTATGCATGTCATAGGATGAAATATACATAATCAGGCATTCGACCTAACATATCATTACATTCATAAACAATCCTGAATGTAGAAAAATCTTCAGAGCTAAGAGAGCTTTGATACCAAACAATAAATTTTGTCTCATTTTATATTTTCTAGATTAACCAACTATTCATCAAGCTTTGGAAAAATATCTCATGTCATTGATGAAAATATGGATACCTAACTTGTAATAGGACAGCACTACAATTAGTAGAGGAAAAATAGGGAGGGCTCTTGTTACGACAATTTCTTAAGACTATGTTATATAAAAGAACAACATCTATATATAAATAATGTAATGTACATTTATGCTAGTGTCAGGGATTTTAAATTTCGACAGCTTTTATGTAATGATGGAGACCCAATTCTAATAGTTTTTGTTTTTACTTGAAGTCTTTCCAGGACTTAAATGTCCAAATGACATCTGCTTCTTCTTCTGTTTCCACAATCTCGAATCGCTTGTCTGTGAGATGGTCCTTCAGAGAGCTATACTCCACAAATATACGCACATTCCTGTCCTTGGGCAGCCCGGGGAAAGGCTTGTCAAAGTTAGGGGAGGTTCCTGTCATGGAGTATTTCTATAAACATGACAACAAAATTCTGCATCAACAAATAAGAGTCCATAAAATAAAATGATGTTGATGATTCTTTTTAAATTCATATTCCACTTTATTTCTTTTCAAAGGTGTACTTGTCTCAAACTCCACCACTGATGAGTCCCCCACAGATAAATTCCTTTACACAGATACCCTAAGCCATGACTATCCTAAACCTTTACTAAATGACCTTGTTTCAGTGTTTTTTCTTTAATTTACGTTTGTTTTTTAAGTTTGAATGACTTACTACAAAGTACTCCATTTCTGGTTCTTCCTGTTTATAACTGACGGCTTTCATGTCACATGGCTCCCATGCTAACAGTCGAGCTTTCTTTATATCACCATCTTCCTCATTTTCAATATAATCTCTTGTTATTTCATCTGGAAAACAAAATAAAGATTGTTTAAGTCAATATTAAAATCTGGTTATTATCTATATGTGCAGTGAAGCTGAAAACTAATTTGTGTAATCTAATCAGCCTGGAGTTAGAAAAAGCAGTCAGTTAAAATATTATTTGTGCATGACCAATCCTTAGTCTTTTCCAGGTGAACCAGCTGAGCCCATGCCAGCCTTACAAGCAGTGTCAGACCTGAGAGCTGAACTCAAGTATACTAGACCTTACAGGCAATCACCCTGAGTATACAAGGCCTACCAGCAGTGATCAAAGTACTGAACTCAAGCATACTAGACCTTACAGGCAATCACCCTGCATATACAAGGCCTACCAGCAGTGATCTAAGTACTGAACTCAAGTATACTAGACCTAATTACAGGCAATCACCCTGCATATACAAGGCCTACCAGCAGTGATCTAAGTACTGAACTCAAGTATACCAGGCCTTGCTTGATAAGAAACAGGAACAGACCTGGTAGTATGTTAAGATAAATATTTCAGAAGTTTTGGGTTAAGTTTGCCACTTTGTGCATATCTTGCTCGTATTGGACATATTGCCAGTCATACCTCCATTCTCAACATCCTCTGTGAGCCACATCAACGTGTAGGCCATCTTTGTTGTTGTCCAGAAAAACGGCACTGTCCGGCAGTTTGATGACTCAGAGTGCTGTATTCTTGAACCAAACTCATCCATGACGTACCAAACAGGCATGGCATTCTTGTCCCCCTGTTTAAAGCACATGACCAGCTACATAATGAGGCCCACATTTACACATCACATGACAATTATAAACAAGCTACTTCATAACATACCAAAAAAGCATGTCATCTTTTTCTCCCACTGTTAAATGAACCTGTTCATGATTTCTGACTTGAAAATAGTTTTCCTGATCACCATCTAATTACATAATGTACTTGTTACTAGCTCGGCTAGAGTGAATTTTCTCTTTAGCTCGAATGGTATAGCACTGGACACTTATCTGTAGTCTGGGAACGACTCCTAGCACAGGCACTTACAAACATTGCCCTTCTGGGAACGACTCCTAGCACAGGCACTTACAAACATTGACCTATGTTACACATGGATGTTATTCCCAACACACACAAGGAAAAACACGGGAATTGTTTCATTATGTTATGTATTTCAGCTCATGATCAGTTTGGCCCAGCAGAATGTCCTCGGCTTCTGGAGTGATGTTTCTGTATTTAATATTACATTAATCCTCTAACTTTTACTTTCATCATCATACTGTAAAAAAACACACTTAACTCACCCTTTCAAAATTTCCAAAACTGTATGTCTGGTTAAATCTGTAAACAAATGAAAAGAAAAACATGTGTGTATCAAAGGAAATATTCAGGTTTTTCATCAATATTTTTGTTTCACTGATTAACCTTTTTAACAGAACTGGTAACCAAGTTCCAAATTTACCCATTATCCATAGTACATATATATTGAACATTCAGCTGAAGTATTTTTTATTTTTATAGTCTAATACCTGAAACAACAAGGTTTCACTTATATATTTATGTTATCTATTTTTTTATTTATTCTACTTCATTGATTAGCTACATATATAATCAGTTTTAACATGTAATACACAATGACAGGATATTTACTTGAGACATACCTATGTGTCTTCGCAAAACTAAACTTACTTCCACATTTCTGTTAAGATGTCGTCCTCTATTTGTGGATTTGACCTTCCGTTGACACTGACAGCCATGAGAGATGCCATCCTCTGCAGCAGACCCGGAATGGTCTGTAAGTGTTGTCTAGCTTCCTCCAGTCTGTAGGACCAGGCATGGTCTATCAAAAATATACTGAAAAATATTTCAAAAGGATAACCAATATATATGGATCACATAACTGTGGTGGTTTTATTTTTTTCATTTGTTTAAGAGATCAGAAATATAACATCTAAATTAAAATGCTCTCTTTTGCCTTACACATGATCTTTCATGTATCTCGGTATAATAATTAACAAGAGGCCCATGGGCCTTAACGGTCACCTGATATATTGATACAGAGAGTTGATTTTGTTTTTAACATGAACAGAAATATTATTCAAAGTGACAAAAAACAACAACAACACCTTACTCAATATCTAGCATACAGATTTCAGACTAAAAAGGATTTGAAACTAGCACCTACAGCCCTTGGGGGTAGGGCTGGCTCAAAATTTTCAAAGTATCAAACTGTCAATTCAAGGTTATAATTCCAATCAAGTTATTAACATGTAATATTCAAAGTATCATTTGTCATTATAAACCATAA